TGCTTGGGGCAGCCGTGAGTTGGCAAAGCAAGAAGCAACCAACCGTGGCTCTAAGCTCAACAGAAGCGGAGTATATGGCACTCACTCAAGGTGCCATGGAGGCGATATGGCTACGGTGTCTTCTAGCGGAGCTTGGGCATCCTTAACTGAACCCAACTCCTCTCTTTTGTGACAATCAAGCCGCCATAAGCCTCTCTCACAACGCGGTCCTTCATGGGCGAACCAAGCATATTGAAGTGAAGCATCATTTCGTTCGTGAGGCGGTTGAGAAGGGTGAGGACAAACTCACTTACGTAAGCACCAAAGCTCAACCGACGGACTTCCTCACTAAACCACTCCCTAAGGACTCATTCAATGCATGCTGTCAGCGTGTAGGATTGAAAACCTAGTGGCTTGGGTGCAAGGGGGAGTGTTGGAGGTTGCGTGGGGGGGAGGTTTGCCCCCAACCACCGAATGTGTTGCTTCCGATCACTTCACTGCAGGTTTCGAGAAACTGCAGGTTGACTTCGGGGGACTTGAAGTTCGGTGCCACATGGCAGCACCTGAAACATTCGTGGACCAAAGGAACATTCGAATGTGTAAAATCCGGATCACGAATTTCACCACATCGAAATGTTACCCACGGAACATTCGCGACACTTCATGTAGCAACTCGATGTTACGTGTGCGATTCGACAAATTGAGTAGCTATAAATGTGTGCGCTTTGTATGCATGTTTCATACTGAAAATCAGAGTTTCCAATACACGGTTAAACTCGACACAAATTCTAGAGAGCTTCTATACTTACATTCAAGAGCACCACCCAACACGTGAACGCTTATACCTCTCTCGTAACTTAGGCGATCGACGTGTGTGACGGCTCGTTGGAAAGCTAAGACGGAGCTCTATCATTCAGAACAACTCCCTCTACCTGCAAAGTAGAGGAGAGTCCTTTACAACAGTGGTATCAGAGCTGGTCGGAGAAGTCTACGCGCGCGACAAGAAGCAAGCATGCCGACTTCAAGCGAGGCCTCCCGCACTTCCTTGGATGGTGTCGTTGTAAATTCCGGCGAACCCTAGGCAACCGCAACGATGTTTGACACGTCGGCGGTACCGATTTTCACGTGACAAAACTACTCCGCGCGGAAGTTGAAGTTCCAAGTGCTCATGATGGAACGGGGACTTTGGGGTTTCTTCGATGAAACGGAGAAGAAGCCGGACGATGAGAGTGGCATCGCGGCATGGAAGAAAGACCAAAAGGCGTTCGCAACGTTGATTTCGCGCATCGGCATCAATGTTCAGTGCGCATGTGCATCAAGCTCGAAACGTCGGCGCATGTAGCGTGGAAGCGGTTTGAGACCATCCACGTGAACAAGACTCTCCACGGCAAGATCCGTGGGCGCGGGACGCGTTCTACACGGCGAAGATGGGCGCGGACGAATCAATGCACGAGTATGCGACTCGTGTGAATGAGCTTGGGGAAAAGTTCATGGACCTTGGTGGAACGATCACGGAGGAGGATTGGATTCTCACCTTGTTTTGCGGCCTTCCGGAAGAGTGGTCGACGGTGATTACGACACTCAATAGCGTTCAACGTTCAAGACACTTGGACGAACCTCACCATCCCCACCGATTACTGGTTCCGACTCATGCAGTCTACCTTATTCAGATGAATAACGGGGGTGAACACGAGCCTACCCTGCGCTGGTTAAAAGCATCTGGTTTGGTGCCAATTCTACAGCTGTACATAAAAGAAAAAAAAGGGAGTTGCGGCACTGTTTCGCTCCGACAAAAGCGGGCTGAGTGAAACAGCACGCCTTTAAAACATCTGGGCGCCGCACGGACAACAATAGTGCAGTTCGCTGGTTTCTCCTGACCCGGGCGTCTACACGTGGTAACATCGCAGCGGTGAAGCAGGGAACAGGAACTGTGGAGTTTTAGTGGCGCGACGTTTGCGGTGGGCTGCAAAACGGTTCGGTGATAGTTCCTTTTAAACAAGGGTCCCCGATGTGAAGATAGGTAGGTAACGATAGTAGCCATAGCTAGGACTAACCTAGTTAGGCAAGAAGAAGTTAGGCAAAAGAGGAGGATTGTACTAGCAAGCAATGAGATACAAATATGAAACCCTAAGGGGTTATACTCGCTATAGAGTACCCCACTGCAGGCTAGATAACAAATATGACATTCTGACACACCCCCATAGCCAAAGTGGGGTGTAATCAGCAGAGCAAGCAAAACAGAACAAGCTCAGGGTGGATCACAATGTCACCACACAGTCTGAGCACAAGTTCAAGCAGCAGTAGTATAAAGTTCACAGTTATAAGCAAAGCTAGAGGTAGTCACAACGGGCAAGTGAGGAGGAGAGAGACTGAGAGGAGAGGAGATAGGAGGCGACGGATGAAGCTGCAGACACACGGGCAACAGGAGGCAGACTGGCTCAGCGGCTACCGGACGAAGCCCCCGGACTACTGGAGTAACTGGCCCCGCAGCTAAAGTAGCGGCAGACGAGCAACGGACCCACGGGCGGCTGGCACAGCTGGCTACGACTGGGCTACCGGACGAAGTCCCCGGACTACAGGTGCTGCTAGCGACACATCGGCATCCTCCATTCAGCTTCCCCAGACTGTCCTACTCCCCTTGGCACACACCCACTGCTACACCGCTAGCTCTCCTCCCTTTCCCCCCCCCTTAGTATCACTCCACCGGCTCCACCACAATCACCCCCCCCTCAGCGGCAGCTGCAGCACAAGGAGACGGAGGAGGAGGAGGAGCAGGGAGTGGTACTGAGGAGGGTCACCCCCATACCCCTCACCCCCAAACCCTAAAGTAGGAGAATGGGGAGTAGGAGGGGTAGGGCGGTAGTAGAGGGACTGGGAACAGCGGGGAGGGCAGGGAAGGTAGGAAACGGGCCCACCACGGGCCTGGTAGGGACGCCCGAGCCGCGCGCATGCGGCCCGAGCCGCGCGCGGGTCGGGCGTCTCCCGTACGGGCCGCGCGACGGCCTGGCGCAGCCCGTACGGGCCGCGCGCGGGCCTGGCGCAGCCCGTACGGGCCGCGCGCGAGCCTGGCGCAGCCCGTACGGGCAGCGCGTGGGTCTGGCGCAGCCCGTACGGGCCGCGCGCTGCCTGTACGGGCCGCACAGAGGCCACGACGGGCGACGGGGGGCGACGCGGAGGTCCCCGTCGCCCGTCACAGCGCCTCCCGGGAGCGGCGCGCGGCGTGACGGGGCAGAAACCCGCCGCGCGCCTCGGGGCGCACGGCGGGCAGAAAACCGCCGCGCGCCTCGGGGCGCACGGCGGTAAGGGAAAGTAGTAGTTGCAGCGGAAGGAACGTGGTTAGGCACACAGGCCAGGAGCGTACTGCTCTGATCACCATGTGAAGATAGGTAGGTAACGATAGTAGCCATAGCTAGGACTAACCTAGCTAAGCAAGAAGAAGTTAGGCAAAAGAGGAGGATTGTACTAGCAAGCAATGAGATACAAATATGAAACCCTAAGGGATTATACTCGCTATAGAGTACCCCACTGCAGGCTAGATAACAAATATGACATTCTGACACCCGACTCCGATAGTTTTTGCCCCTCCACCGTAGACGGGTGCGGGCAGCACCGACTATACCCCATCCGACAAAAGCGGACGCTGGGCGAACGGCGGGAAGCGGAAATGTCGGGGGGCGAAACGACAAAAAAATATGAACCTGAGGGTATTTCATCGCTTCTTGAAGTGCGGTTGAGCCGTTAGGGAACTTTGAATGAAGAGCACTTATCGAAGTAGCCTAGCAAGAAACACAGCGGCAAGGAGACCTAGGACCCCAGGTGTTTTAACGCACACCTCGGGAAATTCTTCAGAAAAAAGGGAGTGTGAGAGCAGTCGAAGCTTCGGGAACTTATCAACCGGCGACGAGCGATGCGGTGAAACATCTGCAAAGCGCTGGTGGGAGAAACTTGGGTTTTTGTTAAACAGCATCCGCGGGAGCAGTTTCTACAACGGAGTCAACGGCATTGATGCCACTAGGTTCCGTGAAATTCGGACTTGGAAGAATCCAGGGCTAGTCCCCGGTTCTCGATTGAACCCACATGCAGGGGTCGGGTAGCCGACGGAAACTGATGGTGACCGAGTGGGCGGCTATAGAACGTCCGAGATTTTCGGAGGAGAACTGCACCTGCAACTGCGGATTTATGGGGCTTAATTCGAACGACAACTTCAGAGTTGTTAAGTGGGGACTTAATGGTTTTACGGCGAGGAGCGCCGACCATTTTTGAGGAGTTGCGGCGTTTTGGTTAAGCGCGAGCGGCAACGAAGTGGGGCAACACCGCGAGATTTCCACGGACTTTCAAGGGGTACGAACGACTTACGACGAACTAAAGAAGGCGGCAGCAACAGTAGAGGGGGGGAGTGACAGCTGCAATTTTTCATCTCTGCCCAGCAGCCCTCGGCGCACTACGATACCTGCACTTGCTTGTTTACATTTATATATGATCTTGCATGTGATCTGGCCTTTTGGCCTTGCTCTTGTGCTCGGATTGTGTGGTGACGTTGTGATCCACCCTGAGCTTGCTTTGTTTTGCTTGACTGGTCTTGTGACCTCTTGTTCTCCCCCACTTTGCCCATGGGGGTGTGTCAAATTCATATGCTATAGTCTGTGTAGGCTGTAGTGGGGTAGACCATATGTGTCAAACTTATAGGTTTTTCTACTTGTACCCACCTGCTTGCTAATTCATTCATTCCTCATTTCTTCACACTCTGCTATTCAAACGCGGTCACACTCGCACACTACTCTGAATGAAAGCACTTCGAAAGCGCGATGCGAAGGGTGTGAAGAAGTGAATGAATGAACTATGAATGAAGTGGGTACAAGTACTAACCCTAATTGGGTTGTACCCCCTATGGGATACCCCACTATAGCCTACACAAAAGCATAAGCTATAATGTTCGGACACACCCCCATAGGCAAAGTGGGGGAGAACAAGGGGTCACAAGACCAGTCAAGCAAAGCAAAGCAAAGCAAGCTCAGGGTGGATCACAACGTCACCACACAGTCTGAGAACAAGGTCAAGGCCACAAGGCCAGTTCACATGCAGGATGAGACATATATATATAAGTCTAAACAAGCAAGAGCAGGTATATATATATGCAAGAGTACAAGTAAGATCAAGAGGTGAGCAAGTGAGGCAAGACTGGGACAAGTGCAGAAACGCTGATGATCACAAGGCGGAAGTGCCTTGGTGAAAACATCAGCAATCTTGGCCTCAGAGGCCACGTACGCAAGTCGCAACTGACCACGCTGCTGCAGCTCACGAGCAAGAAAGTAGCGGAGAGCAATGTGCTTCATTCTTTGCTCCAGGCGCTGCTCTCGACACAAGGCCAGCATGGCCTTGTTGTCTACGTACAGCACTGGAGGAGAACGAGGCGGCTCTCCAAGGTCAGTCAGCAGGTAGGTGAGCCAGCGAAGCTCCTGAGCAGCCATGGCCCCGGCGTAGATCTCAGCCTCACAACTGGAGCCGAGAACAGAAGACGAGCGAGTAGCCCGCCACGAAACAGAGCCGGAACCAAGACTGAAGGTGTAACCCTGCGACGACCGCTGAGTAGCCTGGTCGTCAGCCCAAGAAGCGTCCGCGTGCCCAGTGAGGACCACTGGACTCCGCCCTCCAAGCACTAGCCCCATGCCCGACGTACTGCACAAGTAGCGCAACACCCTCTTCGCTGCAGCCATGTGCTCTGGTCAGTGTCTCCCAGGAGCAACATAGCGTGCGAGAATGCTAAGAGGGTATGCAAGGTCAGGTCGTGTGCAGGTCATCAGGTACATGAGGCAGCCAACAAGCTCTGGGTACGGGCCACTCAACTCTACGGACTCATCCGAAGGCAGAGCTGAGAGCGAGTGGCGAGTAGGCAGAGGAGTGGCCTGAGGCGAGGAGTACGTGAAGCCGAAGCGCTGAAGGACCTGCTGCACCATGTGTGACTGAGTCAAGGTAATGGTGCGGCGTGCTCTGTCCCGAGTGATCTGCAAGCCAAGGTAGCTGCGCAGCTCACCCAGGTCTGTGCACGTGTGTCTCTTCTGCAGCTCGGACTTCACGTAGGCGAGTCCAGCAGTGTCCGCTGTGGCAAAGACCAAGTCGTCGACGTACACGAGGATGTAGAGCGGCGGCAGAGAAGTGTCGGTGCGCAGAAACAGCGACGGGGCAGCAGTAGAGGGAGCAAACCCAAGAGCCGCAAGCGTAGTCCTCAGTGTGTCGTGCCACTCACGTGGTGCCTGGCGGAGACCGTAGATTGGCCGTCGGAGGCTCCACTGGGTGCCAGGAGGGAAAGTCCCAGTGAAGCCAGGTGGACGGCGCAGCCAGATCTCCTCGTGCAGGCTACCCTGCAAGAAAGCAGTGCTGAAGTCAAGAGAGTGGAGCTCGTAGTCGCGCTGAGCGGCTATGTGCAGCAGCACCCAAAGAGTGGTCATCTTCGGGGTGGGAGAGAAGGTCTGAAAGTAGTCAACTCCCTGCCGCTGACTGAAGCCACGAGCCACATACCGCGCCTTGAAGACAGGTGGAGAGCCCGGCGGCCGCTTCACCCTGAAGATCCACATCCCACTGACGATGTTCGCCCCAGGAGGGGGAACCGCGTCAACGTAGGTGCCTCTGGACTTCCAGGAAGCCATCTCTGCATCCATAGCTGCCTGCCACTGAGAGGAGTAGGGACCCTCTACGGCCTCCGCGTAAGAGCGCGGAGCCGGGATGTGTAGTGCATCCGGGTCTCCCTCAGTGGCAAGCAATACAGACGCGAGATGAGGTGAAGCAGCAGCCAGACACTGAAACTCCTCCTGCCTGTCCTCAAGGACGTCCGTGCCAAGAGCACACTCACCCCCGACGGACGGAGGACAGAGAGACGCAGACTCAGCAACAAGACTAGTAGCGTAGTCTAGACAACAGCGAGCAGCAAAGTCGACGAGCTCAGCAACAAGAGCAGACGCAGCAGTGGACTCAAAGGAGGGGTCAGTGACGACAGTAGCAAGGAGACGCGTGACAGTAGGACTGGCAGCACGAAGAGAGTCCGACTCAGGGTCGGCAAGCACAGGAAGAGAGGACTCAGGAGGAGAGGGCAAAGGGGCACGCAGAGGAGCAGTGGACGGACGCAGAGACATTCGGTGCGTGCCAGGGACAAGAGGAGGACGCTGACGCGAACTACGACCACTAGTGCGAGCAGCACGAACAGGCGACGCAGGACGAGACGCAGGCTCACGACGCTCAGCAAGACCTCCAGTAGGACCAGTGTAGGGAGAGGGAGAAGGCAGTGGGGAGGCCGGAGGTAACTGGGAATGCGACTGGACAGGCGGTGGACCCTCTAAGAGAGGAGGAAGACCAAGAACCTGCTGAAGGAGCGGAACGAAGTACGGCCGAGGCCGCGCGGTGGCACCAAACACAGCAGGGACAGCACCAGCACCCTCAGCACCTCCGGCAGCACCAGCGCCAACAGCACCTCCAGCGGCAGGACCTCCAGCAGCGCCAGCAGCACCCGCAGCACGACCACCACCAGGACGGACAGTAGTAGTCTCAGAACCAACACCCTCAGCAGCTCCAGCTCCAGGCGGACCCGCAGGCCCAGCAGCTCCGGGACCGGCGGCACCAGCACCCTCAGCGGCCGAAGAAGCGCCAGCTCCAGCAGTACGCCTCGAGCGGCGAGCAAACCACTCGCGCAGCTCCTGTGGAGAGAGTGGCTCCCGCCGAGACGAAACACCTGGAGAACCTACAGGCCCAGTACCGCCAGACGCCACAAGGGGAGGTCTTGTGGCCGCAGGCTCCACACCTCCAGGCTCAACACCTCCAGACGCAGCACCGCCAGGCTCAGCACCCCCAAGCTCAGCACCCACGCGCGCAGCACCCTCAGAGTCAGCACCCCCAGGATCAGCACCCCTAGAGGCAGCACCCCCAGGCTCACCACCCCCAGGCCCAGCACCCCCAGACTCAGCACCCCCAGAGTCAACACCCCCAGGCTCAGCACCCCCAGGCTCAGCACCCCCAGCAGTACCTGAGTCACCAGCAACCTCGACCGGCTCGACTGCATCTACCTGGGACACACCTGAAGGGGCAGGACCCTTAGGGGGAAGGGGGTCTACCGGGGGGGGACCTGGCACAAGGAAGTGCGGTGGCGGCGGGAGGGAAGGAGTGCGGTAGGGGAAGAGGCGGTAGAAGGGGACTGACTTGTCGAACGTGACGTCCTGGGAGGACAGAACACGACGAGAGGAGGGGTGGTAGAACTGCCACCCTGGGGCGTCAGGGGGGAAGCCTAGGAAGACACAGGGAGCAGCACGAGGGGACAGCTTGTCCGCAGACAGGTCGCGGACAAACGCCCGAGATCCCCAGACACGGAACGCAGACGCATCGCCTACCTTCCCCGTCCACAGCAGAGCTGGGGAGGTCTCCAGCCGGGAGACTCTGGGGTGAAGGTTGAGCTGATGCGCCGCGTACCGAACCGCAAACGGCCACAGAAAATGGGGGGCAGCCGCATGCATCATGGACGTACGAGCGACGTCCATGACCATGCCAATGCGGCGCTCTGCAATCCCATTTTGCTGTGGAGAGTCCGGAAGCGTGAAGGTCTGGCGGATGCCTCATGCAAGACAGTAGGCGCGCAGAAGGCCAGAGGAGAACTCTCCGCCTCGGTCACAGTGCAGACGCAGAACAGGAAAGTCCGAGCCGAAGCTCCTCCTGAGCTGGAGACGAGCCGCGCGGATCCAGTCGATCAACACCTCAGTGACATCACCCTTGCTGCGCAAGGGGAAGACTGTGGTGTAACGCGAGTAGTCGTCAACCACCAGCAGGAAGTAGCGCTCGTGACCCTGTCCACGGACGCGGGCTGGGCCCCACACGTCCATGTGAAGCGTCTGCAGAGGAGCCTCTGTCGGGGGAAACTAGGAGGAGTGAGGGGCAGCCCGGAGCCGCCCCTCGACACAGGGGACACAGGAAGGTCCTGGCCCCGAAGGAAGGGGAGGGAGAGACCGGGGGAGACCAGAGACAAGGACACGGGAAGCCATGCCCCGAAGACGAGGCAAGGAGGGGTGGCCAAGACGGTGGTGCCACAAGAGAGTCTCGTGAGACAGGAGGCGACACGAGCAGGGGGCAGACTCAGGACCAGACCTGGAGGCAGCAGCAAACACCTGACCCGACGCAGCTACCTGACCAGACGCAGGGACTGGAGGAGACTCAACGGTCAGGGTGTAGAGACTCGACCCGGGCCGACGCGAAAACGTGGCTAGGTGTCGGCCTGTGCGGGCGTCCGAGCAGTGGGTCCCCCGCTGACTCGCAGGAGTAAACTGGTGAACCCCCGCATCCTGCAGGTCAGCACCACTCACCAAGTTCGTCGAGAACGAGGGGAGGTACAGACCCGACAGGGTGCCCGAGGGGGCAGCCGGACACGGGAGGACAGTGGAGAAGTGAGCGAGGACAGGACCCCCAGAGGGGTCAGCCAGGGAGACTGCAACCGGCCGACCAAGCGGCGTGAGTGTGGTGCGGTCTCGAAAGAAGGAGCGAGAAGCCCCTGAGTCAAGTGTGAAGGTGAGAGAGGCCGAAGCCGACGCAGTACCTGAGAGCGCAGCCTCACCAGTACCTGAGAGTGCAGACGCACTGGCACCTAGAGCAGTAGCCTCACAAGCACCTAGCGCAGCTGTACCAATGCCCGGGTCGGGCGGGAAACACCGGTAACAGTCACCCTCATCACTAATAGTCACAGCATACATGGCAGCAAGGATAGCATCAAAGTCAAGATCAAAGATCGCTACGCCAGCCCTAGACAGCTCTCCCCAGCGGGGAATCTCACTAGACTCGGGGAACTGCTGACGCCAAGCGTCCGTCAGGCGGCCAAAGCAGCGCTGGGTGGAGTGGGCACCCCCACACTGCTCACCCGCGCGATCGCCGGAACGAAGAACGTAGGTGCACGGGCCAAGACCCCCACCACGCTGACGCTGCGTGTACCACTCACGGAGCTGCTGAGGCGGGGGGATGTCCCGAGAACGCTACTGCTGCTGCTGCTGCTGGCGCTGACCACCACCAGAGCCGCTCCGCTGCGGGGCACTACCCCGACTGGCTCCACCTCCTCCGCCACCGCCGCCTCCACCTCCGCCACCACCGCCGCCTCCGCTACCACCGCCGCCGCCGCCACCGCCGCCGCCTCCGCTGCCGCCACCACCACCACCACCCCCACCACCACTCCCACCGCCACCCCCACTCCCTCCGCCACCGCCACCGCCACCTCCACCGCCCCCGCCAGCTCCACCTGCGCCCTTGCCCCCCTTGCCCTTGCTAGGGAGGCGTCTCCCGCTAGGGGCAGACGCCGCGCCGACCGACTCAAGACCAAGCAGGTCGGCAGCAGCAGCAGAGGCAACAGAGGGCAGCAGGGGGGAAGGAGAACACCCCTCAAAGATGGGGGTGCGCGGGTCACCACGAGAGGCTCCTACAGCGACTATGCTCTTCTCCGCCGCTAGGAGGACCTTCTCGAGGAGGTCGACAGTGAGGGTGGTGGGACTGACTGAGAGGAAGTGGTCCCTGACTACGCGAAGGGAGTCAGGGAGGCGAGTGACTATGTAATAGAGAGCGATGTACATGGGGGGGGGGTTCTTGGCGCAGAACTCAGCAGGAAGTGCAGCGCGGTAGCGAGTGTCAGAAGTGCGGAGGTGCGTGATGAGGTCAGCGACTGTAGGAAAGGCAGCAAGGTCAGGAAAGAGGTACGGTAGCATGAGGCGGCTCAGTGCAGCGGTGGCAGGGGAAGAGTAGCGCGCAACTACGGCGTCGTACAAGGTCTGAGCACTCTTGTACTGACTAAAGTGCGCGCGCTCAGTGGTAGGCAGGTGGCGACGCACAGCAAGACGTGCAGCAGCATCGCGGGTGGCCCACTGAGAGCGAACAGTGGGGTCAGCATCAGCAGTAGGAGCAGGGGAGGCGCCAGAGGTGAGGTCAAAGAGAGAAAGACTGTCCGCCCTATCGCACTGTAAAAACAACTGCAGGTCGTCGACCCAGACCTCAAAGTCAATGGCTCGACCCTCAGCGTCAAAAGCGAGGACACTAGGGGTAGCCATGACGACAGACTAGCAGTGCAAGCAGTGGGGGAAGGGCACGCAGTAGCAGTGGGGCTGTGCTCACCAGACAGGGCAGGTCGGGCGGCTCGGCAGTAGGGCGGCTCGGCTGCGCTGCTGCTCGGCGGCGGCTGCTGGGCGGCTCGGCTGTACTGTGGGTCGGCGGCCCGGCGGCTCGGCGGGTGCTGCTGGGCGGCTCGGCTGCTCCGGGACCGGGCAGCGTGGCGGGCGGCTGCTCGGGCGGCTCGGCAGGAGGGGAGACCGGCGGGGCCGCGAAGGTGAGGCGGCGGGGCCGCTACGTGAGGGCGGCGGGGCCGCGAAGGTGAGGCGGCGGGGCTGCTACGTGAGGGCGGCGGGGCCGCGAAGGTGAAGCGGTGGGGCCGCTACGTGAGGGCCGCGGGGCCGCGACGTGAGGGCGGCGGGGCCGCGACGTAAGGGCGGCGGGGCCGCGACGTAAGGGCGGCGGGGCCGCGTAGGTAAGGGCGGCGGGGCCGCATAGGTAAGGGCGGCGGGGCCGTGTAGGTAAGGGCGGCGGAGCCGCGAAGGTGAGGGCGGCGAGGCCGCGAAGGTGAGGCGACGGGGCCGCGACGTGAGGGCGGCGGGGCCGCGACGTAAGGGCGGCGAGGCCGCAACGTGAGGGCGGCGGGGCCGCGACGTGAGGGCGGCGGGGCCGCGACGTGAGGGCGGCGGGGCCGCAACGTGAGGGCGGCGGGGCCGCGACGTGAGGGCGGCGGGGCCGCGAGGTGAGGGCGGCGGGGCCGCGACGTGAGGGCGGCGGGGCCGCGACGTGAGGGCGGCGGGGCCGCGACGTAAGGGCGGCGGGGCCGCGACGTAAGGGCGGCGGGGCCGCGTAGGTAAGGGCGGCGGGGCCGCGGAGGTAAGGGCGGCGGGGCCGCGTAGGTAAGGGCGGCGTAACGGGCCGCTAGGGGCGACACAGAGGGTCGCGAAAAAAAAAAAAAAAAAAAAAAAAAAAAACACGCGCGCCTCGGGGCGCGCTTCGGTGGGCCCTGGGAACAGTCCCTAGGAGGGGACCTGCTCTGATTCCATGTGAAGAAGTGAATGAATGAACTATGAATGAAGTGGGTACAAGTACTAACCCTAATTGGGTTGTACCCCCTATGGGATACCCCACTATAGCCTACACAAAAGCATAAGCTATAATGTTCGGACAAAGGGCAACCAAGGCGAAATTTGCAGTGAATGAATGATTGTTTATCTGAATTACCGATCAGCGAATCAGAGCGGGTCAAACACCCCAACCATGGGCAAACCTCACAGTTACGCGTCTCGATGAAACTGGTAAATTGGGTCACGCCACGAAGCAGAAGCTCCGAGGCTAACAGACGTTAGTTCTTCACAGCAAGTGAAGCAAATGCTGCTGACTAGATAGTGTTTAGCTAATCAGAGAAGTCCAGACAGAACGTCGAACCACCCACAACGCGTCAGAAGGGACCGGCAAATCAGGCCAGGCCACGAAGCAGAGGAGAAAACGTCGAATTTGACCTTGGAATACACGTCAGCTTGTCACAAATCGTCATACAGTCAAGCATATATTCCATACCCGCCACTCGTCGACCGAGAATCACAAATAGATTTCACTAATATTCCATACTATGCTTCAATTCTAGATTACAATATTGTTATGAATGAACTTGCAGAGTGCGCAGTGAATGTCGAAATATATTTGTCATGTTTTGTTATAACTGCTTGTAGTTAGTGTAGTTATTTAAACTGTGGTTGGTGGTGCACCCTATTTGTTTCCTATGCTATATGTACTTCGAACCCTATAGTGAAACACCATCATTCTCCAATTCCTCTTCAAGTCACTCGATACCTCGCCTAGGAGAAAACCTACTCGATACCTAATCTCGGGCCTAGGCTCCTAAGCCTAGGCCCTACCTCTCAACTTAACTTATACTCTCGACAGTGAAACGAATAACGAGAATGTTTGAACTACATAATGTCAGATTATTATAGCTGATGCATGTTTGTAGGCTATAGTGGGGTAGCACATATGGGGTACAGTTTGCTAGGGTTGTATTTGTACCCAACTCTGACTTAGTCAATTCATTCCTCTGCTCATAGTTTCACATGGTATAGAGCTAGGTCCCTCCAGGACCGAATTTTTTTTTTTTGGGCCCACCGAAGCGCGCCCCCCGAGGCGCGCCCTTTTTGTTTTAGCGACCCTTCGGGTCGCCCTCTCCCCTTACGCGGCCCCGCGCTGGCCCCTTACGCGGCCCTGCGCCGCCGGCTCCTACTCGGCCCGCCACCGGCCTCCTACACGGCCCGCCGCCGGCCTCCTACTCGGCCCGCCGCCGGCTCCTACACGGCCCCGCCGCCGGCTCCTACTCGGCTCCGCCGCCGGCCTCCTACACGGCCAGCCGCCGGCCTCCTACACGACCCGGCCCCGGCTCCTACTCGGCCCGCCGCCGGCCCCCTACTCGGCCCGCCGCCGGCCTCCTACACGGCCCTGCCGCCGGCCTCCTACTCGGCCCGTCGCCGGCCTCCTACTCGGCCCACCGCCGGCCTCCTACTCGGCCCGCCGCCGGCCTCCTACACGGCCCTGCCGCCGGCCTCCTACACGGCCCTGCCACCGGCCTCCTACTCGGCCCGTCGCCGGCCTCCTACTCGGCCCGCCGCCGGCTCCTACCTGGCCCTACCGCCGGCCCTACCGCCGGCCTTGTCCCGGCCCCGCCACTGCACTCCAGCCGAGCCGCCCAGCAGCAGCCGAGCCGCCCAGCAGCAGCCGAGCCGCCCAGCAGCAGCCGAGCCGCCTAGCAGCAGCCGAGCCGCCCAGCAGCAGCCGA